CCAGCCCATATACGAGCCCATTTGTCCTGTCATACATGTCTGGCGTCTGTTCTCCTTGATATACCTTATGTGTACGTAGGATGTTGCTTCTTTTTGCTATCAGACTGTTTTGGAAACAGTCGGTGCTTTTTTAACAGTTGTCCAGCCTTTGCCAAGTTAACTGTTCTGCCAGTCCTAGCTCTCAAGCTTTGGTCATTGGATCCTTTCACACCGCACACTCCTCATGGACGCGAGAAGTTCCAGCAGTTTGCTGGCACTAGAAGGGCCAGGAGTGCGAGGTGGAACCAGCGCGACTTGCAAGACAAGAGACAAGGAAGCTTACAAAGAGATCATCATCAAGCTCAATTTGCCAGACGTGTATGCAATTCGTGTTTGTTTCTGGGCTTTAGCTAGTCAGTTTCCTTGGGTTTGCAACCCGAAACACATCCCCAATCCATGTTCCTGCAATTGCAGCATATTTGCAAAAAGTTGCATATGTGTGCAGTTTTTTGCGCAAGATCAGGCATGCTTTGTGGGAATTGCAGCTTGGATGAGGGCCCTTTTCCAGAACATCCAGATTGCAAAGCATGGAAAGGTCGATTGCCGTGGTACCAGGGTACTCTTGCTTGTCCTAGGGGCGACTACTGCAGAATTTGCTACTACGTCTTCACGCACGGCGGATTTTGCATAGAAACCCCGAAGATCAAGGTCTTTGCTGTGATCATTGAAGAAGACGAGGTGAAAAGAGGTGAGTTTACACAAGCGAGAAAGAAGTACATTGTGATGAAGACCGAAAACCCAGCTATCACTCTAAAAGGCAAGATGGACTTGTGGCCAGCCAGGATCGTCAGCCTCGAGACACTGTCCAAGAGCTCTATCTCGGCTCCCAAGACCTACCTGTGCACCCTTGACACATACACAAGGAAGTATGGGACTCCATCTGAGGACCAAATTGTCCAAAGACGGTTCAATGGAAAGCTGGTCACAGGTGTGGTTGTGATGCGGGATGAAGACGAGGGCATGTATGCTTTGGAGGACTCAGAGCAGGTTGCAGTCAGAAACGAGGGGGCTATGTCAGATCTTCAGCTCAAGGAAGGCCAAGACAAGGAGACGTTTGATGCTCTTTCCAAGAAAGTCTTTGCGCAGCGGGACAGTCTCAAGCCATTGAAGCTCCAGCCTACAATTTCTTTGTTGGAAGGTGCCAAGAAAGACACTAAGAATCAGAGCGATGCCCGCAGGGCACTTCTTGGGCAGGAGGAAAATGGATCCGAATCGGATTCCAATGAAGAGGCCAGCTATCCAGAACATGTCATGCGAAGCTCCTTTCACTCATCCGAGATCCGCAAAAGTGTCAAGCCCAAGACTCCCGACAATGGCAACGGCAACACAGATTTGCAGGGGCAAATCGTGCCACTTCCACCAAAGGAGAACCAGTGTGAAGGTGAGGGAGTGCCCCTCCCAAAGACTGGGGAGACTCAGACTCCAAATGCAGCAGGTGAAGCCGAAGCGAAGGGCCAGAAAAGAAAGGTTGAGGAAAAAGAACCTGAAGTGCTTCCCCAAAAATGTGCTAAGCCCAAAGCAAAGGCTGGAGCGCAGCCATCTCCACAGCCAACCTCCATTGACACTGACTTGATCCTTTCTCCAGATGAAGTCTCCCAGCTTCCAGATGCAAAAGCTGCTGAGGAGAAAGCAGCAGAAGCAAAGCCAAAGAAAGGTGGCAGAAAATCAAAAGAGAATATGATCGCAGAAGATGTTGCCTTTCTGTGGTCATGTCAAGCGGAACTGCAAGGCTTGCTTCCACCACCCAAGACTCTCACTACAAGGGAAGAACTTCAGAAGTATTGTGAGGAATCTGTGGAATCCTTTCAAGCTCTGATTGCCAAGGCATCCAAGAAGGCGACCACTACGAAAAGACGAAAAACAACCAAGGAGGATGAGCCTGACACTGATCTCAAGAGAGTTCAAGAGACAGCGAAAGGCTTTATTTCGATGTTCATGCACATGTCTGCAGAAAAGCCGGTCGCAAATGAATTGAAAGAGGTCTTCTTTGCTTTGAAGCAGGCAGGCTGGGAACTGCCAACCATCTTTACGGTCAAGCTTTGTGAGATCAAGATCGCGGAATACTTGAAATTCAACAGGTATGTTGAAGTCGCAGCTTGCTTCAAAAGATCGGATGAACTTGGGAAGTTGATGCATGACGTGGATCTTGCTCTTGGAGAGCCGGGCTGTGTGGGAAGTCAAGTGCTCAGTCCAGCAGTTTGCAAACTGGTCTCATTGCTGCCGCGGAGTTCGACGCGAGCATTGCTGGACTCAGTGCATTCAGCTAACCTTGCAAGTTTCTTTGGAGCATTTGCTGGATGCAAGGCAGACTTTTCATTGGCTGACAGCACCAAAGACGACCTGCGCACACTGTGGTTGTGCCTTTCTTCGCTCAGCTCTCACGAGGACTCTGCAAGCCAAGTGCCTGTGCAAGAGGCATTGGCTGCTATTTTGCAGGTTGAAGATGTCGGAGACAAGGCCGATGAATCAAGCTTGCTCTTCTACTTCAAGGTGTCAGAAGCTGGTGGCAAATTGCTGTCTGTCTTGAAATCCAACCTCAGAAAGGAGGCTAGGAAGACCTTTGATCCGTTCTTGGTGCACAAGCTGAAGCTGGAGCTTGAGCGTGCTAGGGAGACCATGGCCTCAACCACAACACAGTTGCAGGCTTTGCAAACGAATGAGGAATGTGATTCCTGCAATGATTTGGCCGAAACGTGGAACTTGCTCTTTGGCAAGATTCAAGGTGTTGCAAATGAACCTATGCTTTCTCAAGATTCGAAGAAGAAAGTGATGGTGATGGAACTTGAAAATGACTGGAAAAAGGGCACCACGCAGTTGCTGAATATGCACATCACCTTTGAACTTCTTCCATTCATGGCCCTGCTTCTGAAGGACAACTCCGCAGGCAAACCACTTCGTTCAGCCCCCGCCTGGAATGTGAGCTTGATCAGGCAGCTTTTGGATGATGTGCATTGTGCTTTCCTCACTCACGATTTCCTCCACACACTCAGATTGAAAGCTTTTGGAAGTGATGCCGCTGGAATCGCTGATGCAGAATGCTCTCAACTGCAGACGCAGTGGGCTGCTCTGGAGGGTGCCCTCGAGAAGTGCATTTTGGATGAGAACTCTCGGTCCAGAAATGAGATTCTGAAAGCCTTTGGGGGGGCAGTGCGTTCCAAGCTTGGGTGCACTGTGCTGAAGAAAGCCGAGGACTTGCAGTATGGTGTGAGACTGCAAATTTTGAGGCTCATGGAAGAGACTGAGGAGACTGCAGATGAGGATTGGGCGGTTGACAAGTGCGAGCAGCTTCTTTGCACAACTACAGGGTTTCCAGAACACGAAGTCACCAAAGCTTCTGAGATGACAGAGTTTGCCCAAACATCCATGAGCTTCATTCGATTGGCAGATGCCACTATGTCTGCCAAGCCAGTGTTGGATAATGTGAAGGAGATCCCCAACAAGCCGGACAAGAAGACAAACCAAGTTCTCCAATCTCTGACATTCGGAGGTCATTAGTTGCAAATCCTGTTGCAAATGTTCTTGTTGGTGGTAGTTGGTTATCGAAAAAGTGCCGTGAGACCCTTTAATTTTAGTATACAGTATATAGATTCCTGCCATGTCCTGTTTAAGGAAGATTGCGCGATCTATTTGGCACGCTTCCTTCAACGAGCCGGAAAAGGTGAACAAGTCTGCCGCCATCATCACTGATTTGCCACCCGACAGTGAGAGGTTCAAGCATCTGGTCCACATCGTTGAGAAGTTTGGCGAGTGGATCGGTGAGTGGGAGCGGAAGGTTTTGTCCATGCTGCAGGATTTGGTGGTTCCTGCACAAAACGCTTTGCGCGAGATTCACACCAAGCTTCCTGAGTATGGCTCACTCACAGCAAAGGAATTCTCCAAGGCAGTCAAGTCAGCAAAGGTTGGAGAAAAGGCCGCTGAATTGAAAAGGAACGTAGAAACTTGTCAGGCTTGCGGGCATCATGCTGGAGTTGAAGTTTCCTTCTGCGCTGCTGCAATGGCGACTGCCCACGAGGGCTTGGGTCTGGTTTCCGCTTGCTCGGTTGCCTTGCTTTTGGAGCACAAACTCTGGAAGGAGATGACGCCGGAAGTTGCCAACAAGACGGGGTTCCTCATTCTATGCCCAAGAAACAATTTTGCTAGTTTTGTTTTGAAGTTGAGTTGAACTCTTCTGTTTTGCCTCCAGCAAGTAGCGCTGGCTCGGGGCTCAAGCAAGGACAAAGCACGCAGAGCTTTACCAGAAGCTTTGTGAGACGTGCAAGTTCATCCAATCGAGTAGTTTGGAGATCCCTCCAACCTTGGCAGCTGAGATGACAGATCGAATTCAGAAGTGTGAGAGGTCCAAACGCTGAAATTTCAGCTGGCAGGTGGGTAGAAAAAACTACCACAGCCTTGCAGACAGGTCAGTTGCCGCCTTCCGTTTCGT